TGACTCTGGCCCCAGTTTGGTATCAGGGTTGGGGTCAGAGCTGCAGCCACTGCCCCTTTTGCCATCTTTGCCCCTCTTCTCCCACCAACCCACCTCTTTTTTCTGCCACTTCTTAGCTCTAGCTGTGTTCTGGCCTTGCTCCAACCCTGGAACATGGAACACGATTGCTCTGGGCTGAGCCTGGCCCAGTAGCTGTGCTGCCATTGAAAAAAAGCTTAGGCCTGAGTTCCAACATTTGGAGCAGGGCTGGAGTTGTCACTGCTACAAAAGCTGCTGTAGGCCTAGTCTGGGGCCAGGGCAGCCATGTGCTTTGTGCACCAGGCTAGAGGAGCCAGAGCTAGAAGACGAGGAGGGGTTGGGGGCAGAAGTAGCAGGGGGACCAGGTGCCAGGGGGTACAGGCATGGAGCAGGGCAAGTGGTAGAGGGCATGTGGAGGCAGGTGCTGGGGAGGCATGTGCTGGAATACATGTGCACAAGGGGGTAGGCAGCAGGAAGGCAGGCAGTGGGGAGTGGGACACAACACACAGGTGTCAGAGGCCAAGGTGTTAGGGCAGAGGTCAGGCCACTTGATCCCCCCTGTTGGAGGTCTCATTGCTTTCTCCACCATGGTTGTGGGGGTGACATTTAAAATGACCCTCCAATAGTTGGATTCTGTATATGGAAAATGTATAACACATTTTTCGTATACAGAATCTAATTATTGGGGGGGGGGGTTGTCTTAAATTCAGGGTCATCTTAAATTCAGATTAATCTTGGATTTGGGTAAATCTGGTATGATTACCTGCTTTAAGAATGCATTTTCCTGACTTTTTGGTCTATAAAACCCACTATGCCCCCTCCCTTAACAGCACCTTGGTTCTTTCCTTGATATATCTTCACCCAGCTGCGTTCAGCAGATCTTTTTCACCTCCTCTGGGACATTGCAGCAAGTGCTTACGCTTTTGAGGCATTGCATTGTCTTATTTTTTTTATCTGTCCTTTTGGAGCAAGCTGTTACTTTCTCAATGCTAATATTCTAATTGTGAGAATTATCCTCCCAAGTCTCTGTAATGCCAGTTAAGTGACAATTTTTCTCATGTACTATGGCTTCTAGTTTTTTGCATTGATATATAGGCATTAAATAGACTTTGTAGAATGCACTGCTGTTTTTTCTTTCCTAGCTTTTAAGACAATATTATGGTTTTCCATCCTTTCTTCAGAATTTTATCACCTTTTCCCAAATCTCATTCCTTGTTCCTAATTATGCTTTGGTATTGTGGTCACAGTCTCCCATAGGACTTAAAACCCTTTTCATTAGTTTGCCAGACAAAATCCAAAGAAGCTCTTGCCAGTATTTTTATAATATATTTCATGCCTTTACTGCAACTCCCTTTACCTTATGCGACAAAAAGCTAATGACCTGGGAAAGTCATTCTGCCAGTGCCACTTGCATAGCCATGTGTTTGCTTCTTTAACGGAATGCTTCTTGTCTAGGCCTTTTTCTTCAACAGAGAATTGATTAGAATACTGCCTGCACTTGAAACTCGTTTACAAGACCCTGGACAAGAATTTAATCTCCTTTCATCCAATAAGGGTAATTCGTGACGGGATTATTGGTACCCATACAGATGAGTAGAAAACAGCAGTGATTGTGTGTGTCTGATGATATGTTTTGGCTGTCTCTTTATTCTCATCCTGGATTTGGGTTCTGGGCATGCAGCATGTATACCTCCCTCCGTTCTGAGAGCAGACCTCACTGGGTGCCTTGGTCTTCTGCAAGCAGGTATTCCTGACTAGCACTAGCCTCTTTCTCCTTCTTTGGCACTTATCAAAGAGAAGTTAACTCTGATTTTTGTTGTTTTGTCGTCTTTGTTTTACGGGCGTTCATGTGTTCTGGGTAGCTGCAGAACTGAAAGACTATCTTTTTTTCTCATGCAGATATTAGTGTTTCTAAAGCACTTTGCTTCTAAGTTTAAAAGATATGCATACTTGATCCATGTTTAAGATGGGCGTGTGGACAGGTACTGGAACTGGATCTAAATTACCAAAAAACAAGTTTGGTGCCTGAGCTAGCTGAATATTGGAGAAGAAACAAATTATGTGACTAAATGTACTAGTCATGAGTCTTCTCCAATCACAAGTGCAATTAATGTTGTTATACAAATTGTATAGCTGACTGCTAATGGAAACACTAAATCACAAATAATTACTCAGCCAGAAGAGCTAAAGTTTGTAAGAAATACTTGTTCCTAGCCTTCTATTCATGTAGGTATGTATATAGCCATCATAGCAATAAATAACCATTTCATTTGATCCTTCTTTACTTTTTCTGTTTCTGTGATGCCCCAATCTCAGTAGTGAGTAATTCAAAAGACATTGAGACCACTAAATCAGAGGGACTTCAGAATTATTTACTTGCTAATCTGCACTCTTTTCCCCCATAAGATCACCTGCCTAACAGCAGCAGTAAACCTAAAGGAAATCACTGACATTCTTGGCTGCTTACACATATGCTGCAGGGTGGGGCATTTTAATCAGAGCATTTCCCGGAAAGCTGCTGTAATTAAAATGCCTCAGTGTCACATATATTAAGCCACTGCATGTTTAAGAATGGCCATGCGGTGTTTTAACTGAAGCTCATTTAGTTAAAGCATTCCATGGCCATTTTGAAACATGCGGGGCAAGTGGGTGGGTTAATACACATGACACTGTGGTTATGCTAGAGTGTTCTAATTGCAACGTGTTGGAGCATGTGTATAGGCAGCCCTGAACCCAGGGGTGGGCAAAAAATGGCCCACGGGCTGCGTCTGGCCCACCAGGTGACTTTTATCTGGCTCACAGGCAGTCACCTGCCAATTAATTATATCCTGTCCAGCCTGCAGCTGCTCCTGCTGCACTCTACATGGGGCCTAGCCCTGCCCACTCTTGCTAGGGCAGTGCACTGCACTCTGATCTCTTCCCATGGGAGGACCCTGGCCCCGGCTAGTGCGCAGAGTTGCCAGGTGGGGCTGCTGTTGCATCTGCCCAGGGAACTGCTTGGCTCCCCCGGCCTCCAGCAGCTTCTCTTCCCATCCCTGCTGCAGCACTCCAGGCAGCAGATAAGGAAGCAGTGGCCAGTTGGGTGGAGGGGGAGGAGATGCAGCAGGGCAGGAGTGTGGGCCCGCACTGGGGCCAGGGCTGGCAGGAGTGTGGGGCCAGGGTGGGATGGTGGGAGCTCGGGGCTTAGGCCCACAAGGCTCCTTATGACCCACATGCAGCTCCTGGGACTTGGCTGGGAGCTGCATGCACTGGAGGCAGCACCTGGTCCTGCTCCCTGCCACCATGTGCAGATCCTGGGACTTGGATGAGAGCTCCAGAGAGCCATGGACGATGGAGCTAGGACAGCTTGGCTCCACTCCCTGCCATCCTGGCTGAGTCTTGGGAGCTGCATGTGGTGGCAGAGCATGGGGCTAGGCCACCGGCTCTATCATGCAGGGCTCCAGCCGAGTTCTGAGAGTTATACTTAAGCCATGGGAAGTCTTGTGCGATAGAGCTGGCAGCCTGGCTCTGCCTTCTGTTGCTGTGTGCAGATTCTGGGACTTGTGCAGAGTTATGTGCTGCCGGTAGGCGGCGTGCCCACCATGGGCCATGAGGGCCCGTTGCTGCTGGCACCAGGGGCTGTGTGCCATAGCGGGGATGTGTGAGGGACTCCCCACATGCACACCCTTGCCGTACACACCCATATGCCACACACACAGCTTCCCACAAACCCCACACTCACCTACATACCCACACCCTTCCCCACAGACACAACCACACCTCGCACACTACCTCCATACACAATATATAGAGTAAGACTTTATTTTGAGCTATTATGCAGTTGCCTCTATATACACACTACACAAACGCATGCAACTTGGGACAAAAATATTTTTGAAATAAAACTAAAATATGTTATAGTAGTTGTTTGATTTTTAGTATATGATTTAGTTTTTTTCTGGTTCCAAGATGGCAACCCCCCTCTCCCAAAAGGAGTACTTCTGGTGGCAAAGGTCAGGGGTTAGGGGGTGGGACTTCTGGTCCCAAGATGGTGACCAGAGGCTGGGGCACCTGTCAAGGGGTGGTGCTACCCTTGTGGCCCTTGACAGTTTGCCAAAACTCAAAGTGTTTCTCCAGCTGAAATAATTGCCATCCCTGCTTTTACCCCTTAGCTAGTCTAATCCCTGGCAGATGACAGGTTGTGACAGACCAATCCAGGTTGTGACAGACCAGTTGTTTCGCAAAGTTTCAGACCTTTTCATCTTGCAACCTGAAAGGATTCAAACACCTGTACTTCTAAATACTACAGGAGTCTTCCAAAGGGCAGGACCAGGCTCCTTACAGCACTGTGGGTAAAAATCTTGAACTCTTAAGTTAATTAGTACCAGCAAAGATTTCACAGCATTTTTAATGTTATACCCCACAGGATGCTGGCTTTCTGTAAGATGGTAGCAATTCTTGGTAAAAGAAGTCAGTACTTATCTGAGCTATTGGGCAATATTGCTGATGAAATGGAAAGTGGAAATGTTGCAAAAGCTTTATAAATAGTCTTAAGTAAAATGTTATGTTGAGTACTGTTACAGAGGAAGATAATATACCAGAGGAAGAATTTTGTACTGGTTCTTGAGATTTAGATGCTAAGGATATCAATATTGCATGAAATGTGTGGTGTCCATTTCATGCCACCACTCCGAACAGCATTTTTAGGCTATGTATTTAGAAAAGCTGGGCTCTTAATAGCGCCCTTAGTTTATGGATTAAAAAAAAAACGGTTAGAAGTTATTAATGGTCTTCTGAACTGTTAGGAACAAAATACCCAACTGCTTTTTCTACTTGCTTAAGGGCAAGTTCTTCTCAAGCTGTTTATGAGGAATAATAAGATCTCTTATAAATAAAGAATGAGAACATTGCAGTATCACTTGGATTTGCAGTTGAAGTGAAACGCCACTCTCTTGCTTTTGCAGAGCTTTCAGGATTCCCATAGTGATACACCTGATATCTTCTTCACCCGTGGATTGTTAGTGTAACTGCAGTTGTGGTTTTCCAGCTGTGGTCCAAACGGAGGATGCAGATTGCATTGCTGTCTCCTTCAATTCCACCACCCTCCCCTTCTGAGAAGTGTTTTTTGTGGACACTGAGAAATTTGGAGGAATAATAGTGTTCCAGTGGTCCAGAAAGCTTGAGACCCACTGACCTGGTGCATGAATCACTTTACAAAACATAAGTAAGATGTCTCCCTACTGCTGAATTTGTTTGATTTTTAAAGTAGACTTTTTATTTTGAGATTTTTTCCCCCCATGTTTATTTATTTTACATTGCAGTTTTAAAGGTGTGGCTGCAGATCACACAGACATTTCAAGCTAGTTTTAAACTCGTAGCTTATGTTGTCTAGCAAGTGTTATAGCATTACAGAGACCTACCTAAATAGTTGGACAAGTAGTATTGTTATGATTGCACTGTTACTCATACTTGAACTAGTTAGCTCAAGTGTGTCTACACCCTTGACTGTTAGAGATATATCCCAAGTGTTGGAGATCTTTATTAGATCCTTACAAATCTGAAAAATTTACAGAATTGTGAAATTTTTTTTTTAGCCAGTCTTTCCCAGATAGCAGAACGTGAAAATCATGGGTTTTAGAACAAATATTTGCTTGTATAGTTTAAAATAAACTTATCTGTTTGTTTCAGATTGTTTTAAACATTACTTCCTTTCTTTTCCTTCCTGGTTTTTGTTTTGTTTTCTTTCAGTTCCTGCTTCTTCACATTGAACAAGTGGATCCTCTCCTACTTGTTGCTTATTTTGGGCTTAGTCCTACTTCCACTGAAGTTAGGGAAAAATATGATCATTTCTCCAACTGATGTTCAGTAGGTGAAAATATCTTTAAATCTTAATTCTACAATGGAAATAAAATGTTCTTGTCCTTGTTCCTGTCTGTTAGATTTTTTTTGATCACTTGCTGGCTCAAGTGTCTGAGGGGTACTTTATTCACAGCCTCCATGGATGTCTGTCTTGCACTACAATAATTTCTGTCAGACCCACTGCTAAATTAGTTGGTCAAGAATGAGATTTTTCCCTGGGTCAAGAAGGAAAACTTACATTCTTTTATCTCATATAGGTAAACCAGATTCTTTTTTTAATAATTTCTGCTAGTTGAAAAAAGACTGGCCAAGCAGTGGGTAGCAGTTGAAGCTCCATCTTTGTGTCAGTACTGTATCTCTCTTAATCTCCCCAGTGAAGATGACCTGCAGACTTCAGACCTTTAGACTGAGTAT